TGACTTAACTTCAAATAGCGTATAGATAATATGATTATTATAAGAAAATGTACCTATTTTTACTATTTAAATATTATACAAAGGTATAAAATATATTTACATATTATAATATGACATAGGTATATGGTATATCTATGTAGAATACTGAATAAAACAAAATTAATTTATCAGCATCTTTATATCCTACATTGTCTAATCCAAGGTCTTATCATTCAAATCTATGGCAGATTATTTGATATTTGTATAGTAGAAGTAATAAAAAAGTATAACATATATTCATTCATCATAATATATTGATAAGATATCCAGCTTTCCAAAAACCAAGTGGCATTTAGCAAAGATAATCTAGTGGTACCAAACCAATCACCTCATAATATACCTGACTCTGATAAAAAATTAAAATGTACAGCCCGAAAATGTTTTTATTAACGAGTTAAGAAACACTGCGAATGTTAGGTTTCAAAATACGATAGTCCATCTACCTATTCAAAGAAACAAAATACCTGCAGTCAAGAATTTATCAAGGAGGAATAGTTTGAATTTTTCAAAAACGTATTACTGTACACTAGAATTGCAATTCGCAAACGCCTACACATTACCCTGAATATCTGGCCTAAGTGTAATACTCATAACAAACAGGTGCAATACTCACCCATAATTCGGTTCCCCAACTCATCATTCACTGTTTTTCCACATCAAACCATCAAACAGGTGCCACGGACTGTAATTCACGTAGTTATTGGGAATGGGTTTTTTATCCTTTTACACTTAGACCTAGCTTGAGAGTAAAACAAGATATTATTCAAACAGTGAGCAGACGCACTACGAAGGTGGTACCAAATCCGTCACTGAAATCGGCTGCGGTGGCGGTAAACAAGAGGATAACACGACATATTATTTTTATTAACTGAAATATATTATAAACTCGTCAGCCGTTAACGCAAGAAAAAAATAGAAAATAAACCGCAAAAACCTAACGGCGAAAGAGGAAACTGGTACACCGCCGAAAATCGAAATAAACAACAAACAACGAAGACAAGTGTACGAAACGGGTGCGACGAACAAACTGATAAAAGCTAAAAAGCGTAAAAAAGAAAAAGAAAATCTTAAAAACGTACGACGTCAACCACGGCGGGCGGCGAAACGACGACGACGTCTGGCGGTGCCAGTGCAACACCGTTTGTTTTGTTTCCATACTACTACTATATGGTTATTTCCATTTATTTTTTTCTACTCCATGAACCACTCGTTGCTTAATGCTTATCATTAATTCATTCGTCGATCATCCGATGACCGAATTGACCGATACTCCGAAGTCCGAATTCCATTCCAATCGGCAATCACTGAATATTGAATAATGAATACTGAATAGTAAATACAAATTACGAATGTTGGTCACGAAATTAGATATTAAAATTGAGAATTTAATTTATATTTATAGTTTATACATTATAGCAGGGATCGAAACTGTTTCAAATTTTAACGGTAACGGTTTCAGTTTTCTACATTTCCTGGTTTTGATTTATGTTTTAAAGATAGGTTTTTCAAATTTTTTTATAAAATTTGTCGGTTTCAAGGACGTTTTTTTCAAATTTTGATTTTATTTTCCTGCATCTAATAACCGTAGACCCAATATTTATTATCTATTAATTATTAAACTGAAACTATTAAAGGCACATCCTATATATGGACAAGAAATTGTTAGAAATTAAAATTTTTTTATTTGTTTATAACATTTTTTGTTTTTATTACCAATACTCAATAGGTAATTTAAACTTTTTATAGGTCAATCATCTATATAGTAAACCTATACTAAATAATACTTTAATCTAATGCATTTTTGTAAACAAAAATCTAAGAATTAAATTTTGGTAATTTGTAAATTATCATGAGGCCCACGCTCAAATGGTTGTAGATTGTCTTCTAGTGGTATACATTATTCTATGCCGTAAAGAGTATGGAGAACATAGACATAAACCAGGGAAGAGCACAGTCAGTTCAATGATACTATTGATACTTGAATACTTCGTATTTCATTGGATACCTACATATTTTTAATTTAATCGAATTTTTAAAAAAAGTTTAATATTTTTAAAAATTAATAAGAGAAAATTATATTTTTTTTTAACTTATCTATTTTTATATTCTGACTTCTGAAAGGACTGTGGAGCGGAAATTTTATTGATTTAATAATAATGTGATTTGATCGATCATTTTCAGGACCCTATCTTTTAAAAAATCAGTTCATTTTTGTGAATATYGAATCGAAAAAAAAAATTGGACAAGTGGGTATTGCCATAGAACAGTATTGGTATATTGCTATACTGTGTGGTAAACATGAAGAGTAGATCACTAATGGATGTATTAAATTTGAATGTAATGACAGGTATCATTGAATTTTGTGTATGAAAAACGATTATAAAWCTAAACGGAGATTATTTGTCAGTCTAGGATATATTATATTAGCTATATTTAAATTAAAATATTTTTTTCTTTTGATACAAGTAATTAATTTTTAACTAAACCTTTGAACTTTAAATGCTTATAAACAAAATTGTGACTATAGATTAATTTCCTATCAGAAACCAGAAAACCACAAATCTGGATCAACTTTATTTGAAAAAAATAATGAAATTTAATATAACTTAAATAAATGTTTTTAAAATAAACATTTTTCTATAAACCACATTTAAAAATTTTCAAAAAAATTTACATCAGACGGACTCCTTTATTTTCAGTAATAAAAATAAAACATATGGTGCAAAAGTAAATAAATTATATATAAAAATAACAATTAAAAATATTGATTAGAACAAAGGTCATTTCATTTATCAGGTTTTCCTGTTAMATTGTATATCAATAATAGACAATATTAAATAAAAAAATAATTTTTTACAATACAATACAAACATTTTAAATACCACTAAATAATACAATTTATTTATTTTAGTTAAGTCAGATCAGATATGAATACATATCTAAAAGGTAATTTATTTATAAAATCATTATTTGATTAAATTGTTACCTCATTATTTGGTCACTTACCCCACTATTAAGGGTTTAGATCACATTATCACAGTAAAACTGGTTGAATGTAGTCGAAAATGGCTCACATGTTTTTTTGGGAAAAATTGCATGTTTGAAATACATATTAAATTATAAGTATATTCAAAAGTCTTTACTAATTGCAATGTTAATCGATAACTTTTCTAATGTTTTTTTAAATGAATAACAAATATTTCAGATTAAAAAAAAAAAACAATAACTTCCTGTAGGGGGGTGAAACTAAATAATTACTCTATAATGTGATTGAAAGTTTATTGCCTGCTGCAGGGATAGAAATTTGAAGAGTCTTTTGATGGGAAATATTTTTATGATCAAATTTTTTTGAAACTTGAATTTAATACTCTTTGACATATTCAGCTTAAACTAGTATCCTAACTAGTTACTACCTCATAATAAAACTACTGATATCCTTACAAAGTATATTACAAAATTAAAAATATTATACCTATATTCTGTCCAGTGATTGAACACACTGTGGGCTGACCAAAATCGGGTTTACTATGCACTTTCATGTGACACCTTGCCATAGAGGAATCGGTTACAGTAGCAAGTTGACACTGGGAATGTGCAGAATTGGAGTGTTTTTTCACTGGACAGAGTATTAATAGCCTATATATACTCTGTCCAGTAAAAGAAAAAAATATAGCTATACCAAAATTGCCGTTTCACTTTTTTGTAAATAATAGTTATTATTAATACAGATATCAGAAATAAGAAAAATTGCTGAAAGAAAGATTTTAATATTTAACTAAATAATTAATACTATTTAAAAGAAAAAGAAAACAGATAGAAAGTATATAACTATTATTACATTAATTTAGTCAGAATGGTTTATGATAAAAAGATATTTTAACATTTTAATGTGAAATAGTYATAATGTTTAAAGAATTAAAGATTAGTTTTAAGAATTAACAAAAGAAAATGTTATCAAAGGCCAATACGTATGAAAATTATTTCAGGTTATATTGTCATTAGTATTAGCTATCATATACTGATTTTTATTTAGCAATATCCCTTGGGTTATGCAATCCAAAATCCACTTTTCGTGAATATTATCATTCATTTGTGGTGTATAACCAACCACTACATTGGCCTTAGTCTCAGTGTTTGTACAGTGGCCACCACATGCACGTACCAGTCGTTTTAAAAGCTGAGCGGGGGGATCACAGGTATTTGATACATATATCTTGCCAACATTATCAAATATTTGAAACGTTATCAATGACCCAAATGTATGACGACGTATTTGAAATTCCTTTAAAGTAAAAAAAAAAAAAACACATTTATAAATATTTATTTTAACTTCAAAATACAAGTAAATTCTAAATTTACTTTGACACGTTCAGACAAATCTGAGATCAAATATTGATGATGAGATAGCCACCTGCCAATTTTGTGTGATTCGTGCACCTTAATTATAAAACAACAATATTAAGTTTTTTAAATTATATTTTATACAACAATTAAATATGTCACAAAATTAATAAAGTTATTAAGCTTGTATTTGTGAAATATTTTACCCAATCTTCAGAAACAATGAAACATCCATAAGCCATTGCAAATACAATATTCAATGTTCGATTTGGTTGTGATTTGGTAATTAAATAAGTGGTTGAAGGTTCTACCTTAGAATGAAAAAKAAATGTTCCTAAGTCTTGTATACATGACTTTAAAATGCTTGTTTCACTGCTTAAAAAAAAATGTTGTAATAAAATATTATATTTTCATAATTCTTTTTTTAATTTTTACCTTTTTGTCATTCCACTACATGCAATTGATTGCAATATTACAGGGCTAGCTAAAGATGCTTTTGGAGTCTGGAAAATTGAAGAAGACTTTCTGGACACTAAACTAGAAGTTATGTCTTTGGTTTGAGTTTTTTTCACACTTTTTACTTTTTGAACAGTGATTTTTTTAGTTTTTTTAGGACGTAGATCTGAAGGTATTTCCCACTTTGAGGGATTAATATTAACATTTTTTTGTGATGGTGTTATTTTATTACTGTTTAAGATTTTGGTATTGGGTAATAATTCATTATGACACATAGTTTTTCGTTTCTTTGTACTAATTAATCTAGAAGGAGCACTAATTCTTAATTTTTCAGGTGATGGTGATGGGAAATCACTGACATCATTCATGTTATTTAAATTATTATCGGGAGGAAATAATAGCTTACGAAATCTTTGTCTAGCATGAGCATTCAAATTTAGCCGATCTTCAATTTTAGCCAGTTCACTATCTAGTTCTGTAGAAGATGTATTTTCCTTTCCATTAGGTGTGAGATATTTTCTTAATAGTTTAAGTGACATTGGTATATATAGCTCATCAATTTGATCATCTGGTAGTGGGCTATCAATTTTGTTTAATACTTTACATAATTGATCAGATAACATATTGACAATATCATTTGTTCTGCAAGGATCATCCTAAAAATAAAAATAATATTAAAACATATATCTAACAGTTATGTAGGGTTAGCACTTATTTTGGGTAAACATGATCAATACACAAAAAAACTATAAATGTTTTAGGTTTTGGTATTTTTTTTTTCATTTCAGATAATTTCTTTACAATATTCTATACTCTATTCCAAATAAGAACAGGCTTCGGCGGCGACCARTTTTTGTCGTGCGGCGGTCAGGCTTCACCTATTTTATTCCCCACTAAATCAACCACCTGTTAGTCTACCRGTGGTGACGGCGACAGCGGCCGATGTTCGGCGGAGGTGACCAATGTTTGATGCTGCGGGTATGTGTAACGTGTACGTGTCTGCATCATAACGCGAGTATACAATGCATTTTAAGTTATTAKTTTAGGTCACTGGTCTATGATAGACTAATTACGTCGCTCCCGCCGTCGCGCGACAGCGGCAGTGTTAGAAGTCCGTACTTGTAGTGAAGCCACGCCCATGCGTAAAAGTCGGCCGCCGAAGCCTGTTCTTATTTGGAATAGAGTATAACACATARTAAAAATTTAAAAATATGGACTTGGATATTTTGCCATTTGGCAACCTTTCAGTTGCACCATTGATTATAGAGTTTAGGTAATTATAACGAAGTTGATAGACTTACTTTGATTGCATTAGTTTTTTTGGGAGTCTCAACGATAAGATAGTCTTCGTCTCCATTATTCTGGTTCATATTTAAGTTGTTAAATCTTTCCATAATTTTATCACATTTGGATTTAAACATTTGGTCACGTTCAATATTACTTGGTCTTAAAAATTTTTTATATGATTGACTAATCTGAAAATATATATTGTATTAATAAATATATTGTGTATGAATATGTATTAATTTATTCCTATAATCTCCAAGAAAACAGATTATTTAACAAGTTAATATTGTTGTGAGTTGTGACAAATGAKTTGAAAATTTTGAATATAATATTCATTATGTATAGAAAGTATGATACAATAAAAAATTAATTGAAGTACAGTCAATATTTCTTTTAAAATTAATTAGATAATACAATGTTCAGAATTAAAAATATCAACAAAAACTTTATTTTAATTTTTTAAATCAATTTAATTTGAAATACAAATTTAAGCTAATATAATTAAAATTATCAATTATTAATAAAACCTTGTTTGATTAATATTTATAACAGTTAAAAAATGTTTGATACCTATTTAATTAAATCTTACTATAAWTTTTATCACAGGTATTTATAAAAACAAAATGTAGTTCAAACATGGGCAGGGAGTATTCAAGTTTAATTTAAAATTAAATACATAAATTAAATGTTGTAATTTAGGTACTTACTGGAATATTAATATTTTTTACTGGTGTTGATTTTGTGTATTTTTCCATATCGACTGGAGGATAGTCTTTTGGTTCCAACATCTTATTAGCTAATTTACTGTATTCCATCCACCTCGCTGATACTAGTGGGATGTTGCGTTTGATTGCTTTATTATATGTACTACGGTAGCCATCGCAAAACATCACATGAGTAACCTAAAAACATGAATAAAACATGTTAAAAAACCATTTAAGGCTTAAAACTAATATAATAACTTTTTGATTGAATGTTTTTTCAACTTTGGCACCCAATTCAATGAGACATTGAATAATACTTGAAGCACTGCGATCGTTGTCAATTTTGTAGTCAACAAATGCAACAACTCCTAAATCATAAATATATACAGTTTTTTGAGCATAAAAATAAAAATAAAAATTTGCTTAACACGCTTAACAGCAATAAATACAAAGTCAAAATTGTATGTACATTATTTAGGAATATAAAATAATAAATCAAAAAAACTACATCTAAGCAAAATTAGGTGGAGTTAAATATTTTTGTATAAATGTAGTAATTGGGATAGTATTCAATATTTTAAATTAATTAAAAATTCATCCAACTCAAAAAAATACTATTTTTTTTTAAATGTTAAGTTATTTTTATATTATTATTCATAACTTATAAAAATAACCGGTAAAAGTTAAAAATGTATAGAATTTTAAAGTTTAAAAAATTTTTTTAATACAAGCAACTTATCTGTGCCTATATGTCAGAAGATATTTTTATTGTGATTTTTTATAAAATTAAATCATTAAATTATTATGTTTACTATAACTTTTTATTGATTTGTTTTAAATTATTAATATAGTGATCAATGTTTCTATTTTTTTTTTTTTAAATATTTGTGAATGAAATTTTAATATTTATAAAGCTACCTTCTTTAAAGTTAGCAAATAATATAGGTAATATAAAATTAGTTTTTAATGTATATAGGTGTATAGTAGGTACACACCTATATAATATTATAAATGGAAATTTAATATTTTTGGATTTTATGTTTGACAATAGAATTAATGTGTACGGATTTTTTGTCTAACAATAAAAAATGAATCTAGTCACTTGGTCCAACTTTTTGACAGATTACCTTTCCATACACGTTATAATATGAAAACATAAGAAAATCATGTGATCTAATGTGCAATCTAGGTACACATTTAATTAATTAGTTCACTAATTTTACATTTCTACCCTAACAATTTTATCACAGCTAGTCAGTAAAAAAAATAATAAAACTAATACTTTGTTCAGAATCAAATTAAGTGTTGACAACTGTGATAGAAATTAAAAAGTTTACAAGGTCTATACTCTATAAGCTGTTATAAAAGTAAATAACTGGAAGATATAATATACCTAATTAAATGCAATTGAAATATTTTACTTTTTTTTTCCACAGTGATCTATTTAGGTATAAGGTATTATAGATATTTTAACATCAAAAATAACAATAAGTTTATTGGACAAGGATTTATTTTAAAGCAATAATATTATTTTAAGATTATAGGTGCATAGGTATCAATGAAAATTTACCTTCAAAAATTCGTCGAGATTCCTTATCATTATCSGTATTAGTTGAGTTATGTGTATTAATTACCGAATTCTTTGAATTACTTTTAGACTCATTTATTATACTTGTTATAGGACTATCTTCTAAATTTTGAATTCCACTGACATTAAGACTATCATTTGTTACAATTGACACATCACTTGAACTCTTGTTGACACCCATTAAGGAGTACAATTCTGTTTGCGCCTCCTTCATTAATTTCATAAACTTTGGGGTAGGAATAAACACCCTTTTTGGTCTTATTACTGGACTGTCAATTATATTTTCTTCATTTAATCTTTTCTTTTTCTTTGATATTGGTGTTTTTTTATTTGATTTGTTTTTATTATCCGCATTACTGACAAATTCATCTTGTGGTATAAGTTCACCAAATAAGTCTCTATGTCCCTTTAACGATGCTTGTGAATCTTCAATCACTTCTAATTCAGAGTCAATGAACAAATCTAAATTACGGTTTAACGCTATTTCATCTGAATCGTCAATAGCTAGTTTCCTTTTTTTACGGTCACTGACTCGTTGTAATACTTGACGAGGATATTTAATTGGACACGACATAATCGTAATTTAACACGTCTATCTATTGGCTAAATAATAAAAATAATAATTAAGTAACGTTAAGTTAATTTAACTCTTATGGTTGCCAAATGAACTCCGAATTCGGGAGTATAAAAATTTATATTTAGTATAAAATCAAAGTTCGATGATTGAATGTTTGTCTTACGTCCAACTAAATACAGTTTCATCCATCCAAAAGTAATGTATCACTGCATTATTGTAGCAGTAGTAGTCATTTCAAGATTTCTATTTTCTAGTCTAGAATATTTGATAGTTGTGGCTTATAGAGTTACTATATACTTAAATTTAGTTGTAATTCATAAAATAAATTGATAAGAAACATCCGTTACAAAAATGATGGAAGATGTTTGATTTTTAATTTTATCACTGTCAACAGTTATTATTCCATGATTTATGCACCCGGTTCGTTTAAAATTAACAACAGGTAAATCGTACAAAAAGTTGGTAAATACTCATGATTAAAGATAATCAAGACTGTTTTAAGGGTAGGTACTAAATGTAGCAATTTAGAGTTGATTGGAGATATAAATTTTGAAATTAAAATATGACTTAATAAATACAATAGATGATTGCTGATTACTTACTTCTATAACTCAAGTGTATTTTTTTGTAAAAAATTCTTAAATATTTCATTACACAATTTATGGTGGAAAAATATGCTTCAATTTTCAACTTTGGMGGTGGTTTCTGACATAAATTGAATCTAGTTATTACTTATTTTGATTTTAGATTTGGAGCGGAGCGATGAATGTATTGATTTTACAATGTTATGTTTTTTGTTGTGTCTGTGTACACGATAAGTTATCGAAATAATGCTTCGATTTTCAACTTCAGCAGTTTTTCCAGTTGGAAAATGAATCTAGTTGGTGCATTGATAAAATTTAATTTTCCTTTAGTTTTTAAATGCACCGGGAAAAACAGAAAAAAAATTAAAGAAAAACGGGTATTTTTACGCAAAATCAATTTTTGATGAAATCGATTTTAGATATTGGTGTAACTCTAAAACGAATTACCATAGATACATGAAATTTTCACTGAAAGTTTATACTGGCATTTTATATTCTTTCAATATATTTGAAATCTTTTTAAGTTTTTTATAGATAATTGAAATTTTCGATCTTTTTAGTTTTTTTATTTATAAGTTACAGTGAAATGTTATTCTTTCGTAAAAATGCTTAGAAATTTAATACAAGGCTCCTTATAGTGGCTTATATATTACATTTTCATAATAGTAGTTAAAAAATATAAAAATACGTTACAACTTTTTTAATATCACTGAAAGTTCGAATATTGAAAAAAACACGTTAAAATCACGAAAAATTGCAATTTATTTCGAGTTGGAAATTCACAATAATTTCTTTTTTTAAATCTAAGGTTTTAAAATTCAATACAAAAGTATTCAAAAGTTTGTTTACTTTTATCAAATAAAAAATGTCTACCGTAAAGCCAAATTGAATTTTTATGTGCATGCACATTATATAAATAAATGCATTTTATTTACAACATTGAATATGCACTCAATTTTTCTTATACTGATATCCTTATTTTGTTGTTATTCAAAAACAAATTACTGTAAAAATTGAAATTTACATCAAATGTTCATATTATCGATTCCTATACTTGATAAAAATTTTAAAATATTTTAACTATTTTCAAGGTATTTATAGACATTTGAAATTTTCCGTGTTTTATTCTATAAATGACAATACAATTTTATTCATTGAATCAAAACATTAAATTTTAATGCGAAGCTCCCCATAAGTTGATATAATAGCAGTTAGAAAATATTTAAAATGCATAGGCACGTATTTTTTATAACCATTCAAAGATCAAATTTGTACAAAATTTAATAATTTAAATTTTTTTTAGCAACTTGGCCATTGGGATAAGATACATTTTTTTTTTGATAAATGCCTAAATTATATGAGTATAATATTATAATAAGGTATTGTGTTATTTTATGTGATTAAATAAGTTTGTCCAGTCCTGTCTTCTGGAGAAACACGCATATGTGTCTGGTTTTATAGCTAAGGATTAAAAATTAAAAACAAAGTTCCATGTAAGAAGTTAATTCTGCAGAAAACAAAATTTTTTTTTATAGTTATTTTAAGTTCAAATTTGGATGAAATTACCTATTAAATAACTAAAAATAACAATTTCAGCTATATTATTGTAATTTAAAAATATTATTCGTGGGTACTAATTTCTATAGTATGCTTTACATTCAATTGTAGTAGTTTATGTAACAAATGTCTTACATTTATCAAAAAAAAATTATATTTTGTACTTTTGTAGACACTGAAATTTTTAAATGCAATATTATCAGTAAAATGATGTAATCCAACCTACAAACTTTACTAAGTGTAAAATAAATTACTATTCATAATAACAATACTAATATAGAACAAATATCATACGATGACACAAAAAAATACATTAAAATAATCACCCACGACAAATGGCAAAACATCTGGTTCAAACAAAATACCAAACTCAATGAAATCAAATGTGACACTACCCAATGGTATAACCCCTCACTCAAAAGAAAAGAAGAAACAGTAATAAATAGACTACGGATAGGACACACTAGAATCATACACGGTTTCCTCATGGCCAAAAAGGAACCCCCAATCTGCACAACCTGCGGAACAAATCTCACTGTCAAGCACATCATATCGGACTGCATAAAGTATAATCAAGAAAGGATTAAACACGGGATATCAGTATATCACACAACCTCGATGCAGCCCTTGGAGCCAATCACCAACTCAACGCAGATTTAATTAACTTCCTCAAGCAAACCAATATTTATAACAAAATCTAAATATGTAAGCAAACGTAATGTAAAAAATAAAATAACTAATGGCCTTTGACGCTGAAGTTGTAAACGATCAATAATAAAAAAAAAAAAAAAATACTAATATATTTATTATAAAATAAACTTATTAATTTTTTTTGACATTAACAAGACTAAATACATTCATTATATAATTGT